TCGTCTGTTCGTCTGTCTATCATCTATCTATCTATCTATCTATCTATCTATCTATCTATCTATCTATCTATCTATCTATCTATCTATCTATATATCTGTCTGTCTGTCTGTCTGTCTGTCTGTCTGTCTGTCTGTCTGTCTATCTATCTATCTGTCTATCTATCTATCTATCTATCTGTCTGTCTGTCTGTCTGTCTGTCTGTCTGTCTGTCTGTCTGTCTATCTGTCTAATGTCTGTCTATGTATTTATTCATTCATATATTTATTCATTTTATTTATTTATTTGTTTATTTATCTATAGATATGTCAGTTGTAAACTGTCATTGTGTGGAAAATTCTGTATTGAGACATTTTTGGCCACTCATTCTTTTGATCTGGATTATATTAATAGTTATATATAAAGCCTCACAACAGATCACAGCTGAAACTATTTTACAGTGTGCTGAATGCTGTATTTAAAGAGTAATGTCTGTAGTGTAATGCTTTTGTCTTCTCAGTCAAGTTTGGCTGTGGGTTTAATAATAAGCAGGAGCAGTGAAAGTCGTGCTCTTTCTCACTCTCTGCTTTTAGAGATTAGCATCTTCCTTTCTCTTGGATTCTGCTTTTGCTGAGAAACGCTGGCTGCAGGTCCTCTTTAGATTTTGAAACGTGGGCCATGTAGTTTTATCAGCACTTTCCAAACCAAACATTGTCTTTGTCTTCAGAGGTTAATGTCTCATAGTTCCACCCAAAGCTTGCATGAGATTTCCAGTGCAGTGACCAGAAGAGGGCGGTGTTATGTCACGATTGCAAACACTTTGGCTCTGTTCAGCTGGAGTTGTGTACTAAAGCTTTAACTCTAAAGACAGTCATCCCACAAAGGTTACTTCCAAAGACATAATTTCAGTACACTAGCATTGGGCCAACATTTTTTGGCCGTCTCTAGCGGTTTGATCCGGTATCTTACGTTCTCATACGGTCATACACAGAGCCCCTGTAATCCGTAGAGGAAACACTCACTTCGTAAAAAAAGGCCAAACGTCCATCTAGGGCATATAGAGACTTGATTCCTGCCTATCATTGCTTAATTTCCGTTCGTGAAAGAGGGATCACTGCAGTGCTGCAAGGCATGATGGGAATGTTTTAAGAGTATGTTTGAGAATGAAGGAGACTGGCCATTTTCCTAGGATACTGATACAGTGTTGCCTTTCCAGAGTTGGAATACAATAAATAAAAAAACACCCTTAGAGGAAGCACACATGCTTCTCAGATTGTCATTTAAAAGACAGTTTAGTAAATTACAAAATAAAAAAGAATAACTATTAATATCTCAAATATGAAAAAACTATTATTCAAATAATAAAATAACGAGTAAAAAATAATATGTAGTTTCAATAATAATAACAATAATAATAATGGAAATTGTTAATAAAATAGATTAAATAGCAACTCAGTGCCAGTTATGTACTTATCATTGATATACAAGTATAGTTTTTGGAAATATTGTGAATTATATTTTATTAACATATTTTCTATAATAATTTTATTTCATTATATTTTTATTATTAAGTTTTAGTCATTTTGTATTTTTAATGGTTTTAGTTTTAACTATAATAACCCTGCTCTGTACCACAACAGTATTACATTAAAATAATGATATATATATATATATATATATATATATATATAAATATATATATATATATATATATATATATATATATTTTT